ATTAGATAGTAAAATTCATGTTCAATTGCTGTTTTAGGGGTTCTTTTTAAAAGTCTGGAACGAATTAATCCATTTTGCATTACTTTCTATGGGAAAGCGTGCCTTGGTTTTGGAACGCTTTGGTTTTGGAACGGACTTCCAGAACGGATTAAGTTTGAGAACCAAGGTACCACTGTATAAATATATCATTATTAGTGTTCAAAAAATTGGAGCTTTCATAAGTGGCCTGGATTTGGGTGGAGGGGCTGGGAGGACAAGAATGGCAAGATAGTGAAGTTTTTGAAATAAAAAAAAAAAGAAACTTTTCAGATTTCTTATCTTGGGTCAGCTGTTGGATGCCTTTTCTCCTGTAATGTTCTTTAAATAACAGACAAGCCAAAAGAGCAAAAGTCAGGGGATGGGGGGGGTCTGCAGAACAGAAGGCCATGTTACTGGAACAACCACCTTCAAACAGCTTCACCCAGCAAGGCCTTCTGTGATGCAATGCAATGCAATGGGGCTTCGCCGGAGCAAACACTTAGAAGCCTTGCTATCAAAAAGTCTTTTTCTCAGACTTGTGTGACCTTTTCTTGCAGTTCGGCTTTCAGGTTCAGATGAAAGTTTGCATAACTGCATCACGGGTTCCCGAATTACTTTTGACACAGAAACCATGCTGTCTTTGCGGTGCCCTAGCTGGAGGCAAGACAGTGAGACAAGAGCAGCAAACGGCTCTGACAGTCCCAGGTTGTTCCGACTGATAAATCTGCAAGTGACGACCTCTGAGCCCAGACACTGCTTTGTAGGGGTCATGCTGAAACAAGGTAGAAGAGAGCGCCGCAAAGTTTAAATGGGAGGGAGAAGCTGTGCAGGAAAGCAGAGAGATGCCTTGGTTCTTTGATGGATGGGAGGGCAGAGAGGAGAAATTATTTTCCCCTCCCACTTCACTTCTGTTGTAGACAGAAGTTTTGTCCGGGTTAAGTTCTGGGGTTCATACCTAAACCTAAAATCTTGTATACTCAAAACCCATCGGGTTAAATGACAAGCAGGGTTAAATGGCAAGCAGGCTTGCCAATGCCATTTTTCCTGGAATCCTTGTTGTTGTTGTTGTTGTTGTTTAGTCGTTTAGTTGTGTCCGACTCTTCGTGACCCCATGGACCAGAGCATGTCAGGCACTCCTGTCTTCCACTGCCTCCCGCAGTTTAGTCAAACTCATGCTGGTAGCTTCGAGAACACTGTCCAACCATCTCGTCCTCTGTCGTCCCCTTCTCCTTGTGCCCTCCATCTTTCCCAACATCAGGGTCTTTTCCAGGGAGTCTTCTCTTCTCATGAGGTGGCCAAAGTATTGCAATCTCAGCTTCAGGATCTGTCCTTCCAGGGAGCACTCAGGGCTGATTTCCTTAAGAATGGGTAGGTTTGATCTTCTTGCAGTCCATGGGACTCTCAAGAGTCTCCTCCAGCACCATAATTCAGAAGCATCAATTCTTCAGCGATCAGAATCCTACCCCCTTCTAAATTTTTAATATATTTTTTGCAACACACGTAAAGCTGAATGTGCACAAGTTAAATGCATGTAAGTTGTGGGCCTGCTGTACCGAGTAGGAATTGGAGAGGGGTTTGATTCAGTCCACCTTTAAAGGAAAATCTATCAAATTTGCATTTTCCGAAACAATACATAAAGCAAAACGCAGCCGTCTTTCAAAATTCACACTTACCTGAATATTGTGATTCATATATTAAGGGAATGTGTGCATAAAGATGCATTTATCTGTGAAAACGACATAGAAAAATGCATGATATATGGGGAAATTCCTCGCAAAATGTGCTTGAGTCAAAACCACATGTAAGACCCACTGTGAGCAACTGGATAAAATTCCTCAACTTCAGAGTGGTCTCAATGTTTCCCCTTGACCCCTGTCCCTCCTGGCTCATCAAATCTAGCAGAGAGAAGCTGTCTGGTTGGGTCCAGAGTGTGGTTGACCCTTTGCTGCAAGAGGAGGTGCTCTGTGCTGCACTGAAAGAAGCAGTGCTGCAACCACTCCTAAAGAAACTGGTTCTGGACCTTTTGGATGGGACCTTTTGCCAATACCTGCTTTTGGGGAGAAGGTGGTGGACACAGCTGCAAATATTCTTGGAGGATGCATATTATAGTGGTACCTCGGGTTAAGTAATTAATTCGTTCCAGAGGTCCATTCTTAACCTGAAACTGTTCTTAACCTGAAGCACCGCTTTAGCTAATGGGGCCTCCTGCTGCCACTGTGCCGCTGGAGCCTGATTTCTGTTCTTATCCTGAAGCAAAGTTCTTAACCTGAAGCACTATTTCTGGGTTAGCAGAGTGTGTAACCTGACGCGTATGTAACCTGAAGCATATGTAACCCGAGGTACCACTGTACTTAGATCCATTCCAATTTGGGTCCAGGCCCAGCCACGAAATTGAGTTGACCTTGGCCACCCTGATGGATGACCTTTCCTTTGTCACTTGTACAATTTGTATGTAGTGAGATTACATGAGCACCCCCCCCCCGCTCAGCTCTCTTAGTCTTAATTCCCCTCGTTTACTGACGCACACCTACCAAACCCGAAAGTCAGTTGCCCTGTTGTTATCTTTTCATTCAGCAGCCTAAGAGCCCACAGATAGAAGCTGTTCTTTACCCTGTTGGTGCGACTAATCATGCTTCTATATCTTCTGCCCGAGGGGAGGAGATCAAGAAAGTGCCGGCCAGGGTGTGAATCATCCCTGAGAATTTTCCTCACTCTCCTGCGGCAACGCTCTTCCACTATTTCATCCAGCGGATTCACAGGACAGCCCATAATATCTTGCGCTGTATTCGCCACCCTCTGTAGGCACTTCCTCTCAGTTGATGTCAAACCAGCGTACCACACCGCGACGCAGTATGAAAGGACACTTTCTATTGTGGACCGGTAGAAGGAGATCATCAAATGTTGATTGACATAGTTCTTCCGCAATACTCTGAGGAGATGGAGTCTCTGTTGGGCTTTCTTAACCACCTGGGTTGTATTTATTTTCCAAGTAAGGTCTTCACTGAGATAAACTCCTAGGAATTTAAAGGAAGAGACTCTCTCCACACAGCCCTCCCCAATGTACAACGGGGCTAGTTCTCCTCTCTTCCTCCGAAAGTCCAACACCATCTCCTTTGTATTGCGGATATATTTTTGAGCTCCCATTGGTATTTGATGCCATCTAACATGGGATCCTCCTGACCTGGCTCTGGGCAGTGGGAATTGGGGGCCCTGTATTACGTTGGTTCCAATCCCACCTCCAGGACTGAGTCCAAAGAGTAGCATTGGGAGAGTGGCTTTCAGGAGACGATCTTTCTCCAGCCTCTTGTCCCCAGACATCTCTAGGAGGCTGCTTTCCACTTTGTGGGTCTGAACAGCTTCAAAAATAAAACTTGCTTTTATTCATTCCTAATCATCTCTGGCTGATGATCCCAGTCAATAGCAGATGGGACATCCTGGATCTCTGAGGAAATTCAATTTTCGGCGATTCCTAGTAAAGGAGACACTTTAAAATGATAAGGCCAATAAGTCATTTGTTGCGTCAAGATTCCCTTCCCTTTCTAAAGCTCCACATCAATATTAGCAGCTCATTTAATGGATTTTCATCTGCCTAAGTGAACTCACTGAGCTGGTGTTGCAGGTATTTATAGTTGTTTGCCTGATAATTGCTCTGATAATTCTCCCTTTTTATTTTGGCTTCCATAAGGGGAAAGCAGAACCTCTTATACCTCCAGGAAAAACAATACCACAACAAAAAGTCTCTGTTCACCCTTCCCCTCACCCTATCACATTTTATAGCTAGTGTTTTCCAGGAGATTTTAGGTCTGTGTCCATGGATGTAACCCCTTTTCAGGACCAGTCCAAGCAGAAGTTGACTGGGAACTGGCAAGGAGGCAGCATTCTCACCTGCACCAGGCTATTTTAGTGGCACACAAAACTCTGGTCTCCAGCTGAGTGGAATGATCAGGCGGCTGAGGAGGAGCCAACATAAATTCAATTTCCTCCACCTGCCTAATGATAGGGCTGCCCCTTTTTATCCTCAAAACAGTCCTGTGAGGCAAGGTTTTTATCAATATGAAATTGCTGCTGGTTTTTTAACATATCAAAGTTTTTTTTCTATATTTTATGTTTAATTGTTACATCTGCTTTGCATATATGAAATTGCGTAATTGTTTCCATTGCTAATGTTTTTACCGAGAAATCGCTTTGAGATGTTTTGTGGGAAGCAATTTGGAGATGGAATCAGATGAGTAAATAAATGAATGAATACAGGCATGCATGCATGTGTATGCAAGGGTAAAGCATAAACAAAAAAATGCAAATGAAAATAACAGAAAAATTCATTAATTTGGGGGAAATCGCTTTGCCAAAAAAAAAAAAGGGTGCATTAAGCAAAATGGTGTGCAAAAACAAGTGTATTAGGAGAAATTTGCACTAAAATGCCAATGAATTTTCATGAGGGGTTTGGGTTTTTTAACAAAATGCAAACTGGTGTGGAAATGTGGAGAATTGAAATTAAGACAAGGGGTGGGGGGGACTGAATTTGACAGATTAACTCATCCCTAAATGTTATTTGGAAGTAGCCATAGGCACGATGATCAAGATAGTTGAACTAGCTCTCCCTCACACAATTCTAACCATGTGAGGAAAACTGAACACCCAAATAGGACTTACAGGATTCATGTAAACACGGCTTGCAAGTTTTATTCACCTCACATACAACTTACTATTTTCAGAAAAGTTTCCATTAGAACCAGCTAGATATTAATGCATCATTTATTGTGAGGAGAGACACAGAGAGAGAAAGAATGAGGCTTTTTTTGCTGTCTCTTGTGTTTACAGGGGAGACAAAAGTTTGTCCTAAGAAAACATTTTGCAGCAGAGATAGATCTCAACAGGGTGATATTTTTCTTTTTTCTTAAAAAAAATGAAGTTGCAGAAAAGTATGGAGAGACAGGAAAAACATTTCACATTCTTGTCCCCTTTGTTGTTTCCCCTTCCAGAAAGTTCAGCAGTACACAGTCATCGTTCAGGCCACAGATATGGAAGGAAATCTTAACTACGGTCTCTCGAACACGGCGACGGCAATCATTATGGTGACAGATGTGAATGACAACCCACCCGAATTCACTGCCAGCACCGTAAGTATCAATACATCAGCGCAATGATGTATGGACACACAACGTGTTTGTAATTCATGGACATTTGATACGGCTCGTCTCCGTTTGCCGGTTTGGCAGATAGAAAGAACTTGATAGATAACTGTGTAACAAAGACTTTCAGCAAATAAAAATTGGGGGGTTGGGGGAGAAAGAGGGAGAGGGAGATGTGAGAAATGATTCATGAAGAAGCTCCGCTATCTGCCTACCAGTTTGCTCTGAAGTGGAATACTGAGAAAATGAAAAGATTGTGGAAATATATATTCTCTCCATGTCATGAGATGTTCACATCCTTCTCCTCCTCCTCCTCCATTATATTCTTCTTCCTCTCCTTCCTCTTCTTCTTCCTCTTATGTTCACTATTCTGGTCACTTAGGCACCACCAACAAATAGTGGAGACACATTGCCGAAAAAGAAGACAAAAGAAGCCACATATTTGCATTAAAATGGCATATTGTTATTATTATTATTTAAATTTATATCCCACCCTTCCTCCTAAAGGAGTCCAGGGTGGCAAATAAACAATTGATAGAAGAATAAAAATGTGTAAGAACAATGGGCGGTATTCAGTTAGCTTTCCCTCAGAGTCGACCCGCTGAAATCAGCGGACGTGACGAAGTCAAGGTCCATCCATTTTGATGGGGCTACTCTGAGTAAAACCCACCTGGTTCCAACACAGATGCAGTCTGTGAAATATGTCTACCTAAAAGGATTGTTGGAAGCGGGAAACCTTCAGCAGGTGCTGAAAAGATGGCGCCCATCTGATATATAACAGGAGGGAGTTTCAAAAGGTAGGTGCCGCCAGTGGCGGACCTACATTTTGGGGTCCCTCAAGCTTGAACTGTCATGGGGGGGCCCTTCGCAACCAGCAATGAGGTCTGGGTAACTGCTTTTATCTTCTTCAATGGAATCATTCCACGGCAGATCACCATATCTTTACAACATCTGTGCTACTGACTCTCAAACTTTGGGATTGTTGAAACACAGGCAACAAAAAAATTAACCAATTTGAGTTGTGTGACTCAAATTGAGTCGACTAGACCCAATTTTTTTAAGCAATGTGGACTAAAGTCATTTCTGGAACCCCTCTGGGATTAGGGTCCCTGAAGCTTATAAGCTTCATCAGTTTCACAGTAGACTGGCACCCCTGGGTGCCACAATACTAAAGACTTAATTCCTATATTGTGCAGAATGGACTTCCTGATAGGATGGTTTCTGCAGAAGCCCCTCACCTAGGTGGAATCTACACACATATAAAAAAAAAATTCTGAAAATGCTTTTTCAAAAAACGCATTTTTAAAAGTACATTGAATTTTCCATAAGGCTCGCCACCGCCATCTAGTGTCACATTGTATATTGCACTTAAAATGTTTTAACTGGATATATAAGGAGAAAGATTATCTCTAACCTATCCTGGTCTCAAGCCGAGTAGGGCTTTATACACCCAAACCAGCACCTTGAACTGAGCCCATTAAATTACATGAATAGAGTCAAAATTGGACATGATTACCATAATTCCATACAGTGCATCTCAACATAGTGAGGAAACTGTAACTGGGTGATCTCTGTGTCCACTCAGGCTCCTTTCCAGAAGGTAAATACTAGTCTCCCTGCTCAGGGATCATTACCTTTATGCCAGGCAGACTTTCACAGCAAAGGTGCCTTCAAATAGAGAACTGTCCTCTATAAATCAGATTGCATGGCCACCTTGGTTTTCATACCAAACACCAACAAAACTTGGGACCCACTCTTCTGCACTGTTTGTGTGTGTGTGAATCTTGTTGCAGAAAAGCTTTAGAAGAAGAAGAAAGTCTAGGTTTTAACTTATGCAGTTACAAAAGAACTAAAGAAAATAAAAGACTGTGTTATGTGTGAAAACTAGGAGTGGGCAGAGCTGTTTAGTTGCATTCCAGAAATACTGTTGTAGACTGAGGGTGGCGGCGGGGAATTATCCACTAAGCATCAGAGTGGATTCAGAATGCGGAACAGCTTCTGATGGGACATTAAAACGTCCTAGGCCACAATTCACACCACATGTTTGAAGTGCTGTGGTAACTGGCGAAGCTTCCCCCAAAGAATTATGGGAGCTGTGGTTTGCTAAGGGTACTGAGAGTTGTTAATGTTAAAGGGACCCCTGACCATTAGGTCCAGTCGTGGCCGGCTCTGGGGTTGCGGCGCTCATCTTGCTTTATTGGCCAAGGGAGCCGGCGTACAGCTTCCGGGTCATGTGGCCAGCATGACTAAGCCGCTTCTGGCGAACCAGAGCAGTGCACGGAAACACCATTTACCTTCCTGCCGGAGCGGTACCTATTTATCTACTTGCACTTTGACGTGCTTTCGAACTGCTAGGTTGGCAGGAGCAGGGACTGAGCAACGGGAGCTCACCCCGTCGTGAGGATTCGAACCGCCGACCTTCTGATTGGCAAGTCCTAGCCTCTGTGGTTTAACCCACAGCGCCAGGCGGCTCCTATTCGCTTCACAGAGTTACAGTTCCCAGAGTTTCCTGTGAAGAGGGTTAATTGTTAAACCTCTCTGGGAATTGTAGTTCCGCGATGGGTCTCCTAACAACTCTCAGCACCCTTAACAAACCACAGCTCCCAGAATCCTCCTGGGGCAGGCACGACTCTTTAAAGCGATATCATAGTGCTTGAAAATGTATGGTGTGAACCTAGTGGCATATTTGTCTTCCTGCATGTGCCTGGCTTGGAAGCCTCCAGATGTTGACAGGATCTACCAGACCCTGGAAATATCTCTGTTCCAGAATATTTCTTCCACAGCCCAAATGCAGTTATCAGTTAAGACAGCAAATAGGAAGCAAAGCCCGTTCTGCAGCATGAATTTAGACAATCGTTTTCACAAAGCTAAACAAGATGCTGGACTTGACAGTCCTTTGCTCCGATTTAGCAGGACTCGTTTTATGTTCTTGTGACTCCCCTATCGTTCTCTCATGGAAATGCCTTCTTGTGGAAGTTGTAAATAGATTGCTTTTGAACAGATCTGAGTGTGCCTTCATAAGAGAGTTCTCACCTAGTGTGAGAATCTGGATCAAAGGTAATGCTTTGGAAAGGCACGTTTGGTATTTACACTTTCTCACTTGTTTGTAAGTACACTGTATTCTGCTGTGGATTTATTTTATTTTATTTTTTTATGATGTTCACAGTGTTTTGTGATGTTTTGAGCTGTGGCGGATTTTAAGCAGGGCTGTACACATTCCACACTGTGATATGTTCCTCATTTAAGGCAGGGATAGGGAGCGTGAGGACTTCCAAATCTTGTTCAGCTTTTCACTCCTATCCGTCTGCATGGCCAGAGACGTAGTCCATCTGTCTTGGGAGAAAATGGAAGAGTGCGCCAGCCCAGGGTGCATGGGCCTCACTCCACCAGCCATGAGGAGAAGGAGGTCCCAGGTGAGCCTCCCTGGGGAGAGAGCATTCCACAAACAGGGAGCCACCACAAAAAAGGCCCTTTCTCATGTTGCCACACTCCTCTCGCGGAGGAGGCACATGAAGGGATGATGTGAGTTGTAGCCTAGTAATATTTGCAGGGCCACAGACTCCCCATCCCAGCACAACCAGTAAGCTAAACTGGTTCTTGCCTTGTAAGCATCTTCCATACTGCACTGCAGCACAGACTACTCACAGCATCCTAAGACTCAAAGCAGGGGTTAAGATGGTAAAACATTTTAAACTGCCAGGAAAAATGGGGTGGGGAGAGAGAGGGGGGGAGAGAGGCTTCCCTTTTAACCTTCATTTCAGTGAAAGGTAGTGACATCTAGTGGCCATTTTTTATTTAAAAAATTAAAAACTCAAAGTGTATAAGGTCTGACTCCTGCCTGAGCAAATACTTTGTAAATGCAATAAGTAGAGTTTAAGCAACTACCGGCTGTCTGGCATCAGTATCTGTAATACAGAAATACTGCAATATAGAAATCCCTGCTTTTATCCTGCATAATGTACAGATGACTCACTCTCATTAACGCCTTATTCGCTATTGAATTAGTTCGGTTTTACCAGAATCAAAGACCGCAGCCGTAAAGCAAAATGACTAAAAAAAATAATCTGCAGAATTAAAGCAGAGTCAATTCATATGTTTACAAACAATTTTGAGACATTTGTCATCAAGGCTACAGATATAGTTCCCCAAAAGAGCTAAATTCAAACAGAAATGATCAGCAACTTCTTATCATTACAGAAAGTATTCTGTGGTAGCTGTATCCGGAGCTAATGTAAAGGGCACAGCCTCCAGTAACAGTGCCAGCCCAAGTCATTTTGCTGCCTGAGGCAAAGGACAAGATGTTGCTTCTTCCCATTTCTTGCACAGAAGCTCACTAGGCTGGCAGTCGATTCTTAATTCGGTGCAGGCCATGGGACTGTCCCATGGCATGCTCTATGTCACACACAGCTGTGTCCCTTTCTCCTCCACTGCCTAAAGCAGCTGTGTCACCCTGCCTAATAGCAGGGCTGGTCCTGCCTAGTAAACACCTCCTTTGCCCTTCCAGTTTAAAAAGATAATGATTTTGACCATCTACACACACACAAAAAGCCTTTCCTAAGAAAAATTGGATGTCTTGCTGTGCTTTCTGGCATAAGGAGCAACCAGCATATTATTATGCATGTACTAATGACAGGGCTCAGATGTTGCTTCAGCAACAATCAGTCTGAGACTGAGCCCCATATAGTAGCACAGCTGCATCCCAATTGCTGGCCCCACCCTCACCGGAAGGAACCTTTCCAGTTAAAGGGGCCTAATCCCCTCCCATGGACTGCAAGAATATCAAACCTATCCATTCTGAATGAAATCAGCCCTGAGTGCTCACTGGAAGGACAGATCCTGAAGCTGAGGCTCCAATACTTTGGCCACCTCATGAGAAGAGAAGACTCCCTGGAAAAGACCCTGATGTTGGGAAAGATGGAGGGCACAAGGAGAAGGGGACGACAGAGGATGAAATGGTTGGACAGTGTTCTCGAAGCTACGAACATGAG